TACCTTTTATTTCTTTGTCTTGCCTAATTGCTGTAGTGAGAAGTACCATCCAAATGTTGGATAGTAATGATGAATGTGTCACTATTTTTTTTGTTCCGGATCTGAGGAGGAACGCTTTCAGCCTTCACCGCTGGATGTAATGTTAGCTGTGGGTTTTTCATAAAAGCTCTTTATAAGGTGTAGCAGTTCTTTTTTCTAGTTTGTTGAGATTTTTGCTCATCCAAGAGTTGAATTTTGTCTGTATCTATTAAATGATTATGCAGTTTCCCCCATTCATTCTGGTAATGTGGTGTATTACATTGATTAATTTTCTTATATTCCTTATCTTTCTAAATATAAGAAATATATGTTGGTTATGTTTTATAATCCTTTTGATAGGCTGCTGAACTTGGCTTGCTAGTATTTATGAGGATTTATAAATGCAAAAATTTATATTTATAAGAAATACTGGTTTATATTTTTCTTTTTTTGGTGATATCTTTGTTTGACTTTGGTATCAGGGTAATACCAGATTTATAGAATAAGTTGGGAAGTTTCCCATTCTCTTATATGTTTAGAGTTTGAGAAGGATTTCTGTTAATTCTTCTGTGAATACTTGGTAGAATTTGCCAGTGAAGCCATCTGGTTCTGGGCTTTACCTCTGTTTGCAGGTTCTGTTGGAGTCAGGACACCAGGCCTGCCCTCTGGTCTCAGTCCACACAGCTAGCTTCTGCTTGCCAGGCCAATTGGAGTCAGGGGACCACGCCCTGCCTGCCAGTCTCGGTCCACTACCTGGCAAGCTTCTGTTCATAGGCTCTGTTAGAGTCAGAGGACTACACTCCGCCCGCAGGTCTCAGTCCTCACCTGGTAAGCCTCTGCTCACCAGCCTGCTGGAGGCAGTAGAGCACGCCCCAGTAAGCCAGTGCTCCACGGTTCTGTTGGAATCAGGAGACCATGCCCTTGCTCTCAGGTGGCAGCCTACGCTTATCAAGCCTCTGCTTGCAGGCCCAGCAGGGACCAGCCCTGTCTGCTAAACTCAATCCACTTGGGGCAACCACTCTCCTGCTTGGGTGCCGTCAGAGCTGGGGGTTCTGCACCCCGTCCTGCCAGACACATCCCAAACCGAGGGTCAACACTGCCACTGGCCGGGCATAATCGTAACCAGGGGACTGCTCCTCCACCCACTGAGGGTCCCTTTCTTCCTACACCCTCTTTCTTCCCTGTTAGTCACAGATTCTGTCCTGATGGTTGGCGGTCCACACTATGCCTGGGTCTCTCAGGACAAGACCAAACACTCTGTGCTCTCAGGGGGCAGAACTTCAGACTGCCATGTGAGGGGGAAAGGGTGGACTGGGAGTTTGGATTTGTGGGGGAAAAATATCTGTTCGGTTTTATGCCTGGCGGGGTGGTGTCTAGGTTCATAAGTGAGACCTCCCTGGAGAAAGAGACCTAGAGTTTGGTGGCTCTCTCCAGCGAGGTAAAATGAGGTCTTCTATTCCCGACTCAGCCTGCTGCAGGCCTCCTGCTTTGGGGAGAGGTCTCCCATCTTCTAGTCAATAGGCTTTGTACCTGTAATGTGTTTTCTTGAATGCTCTTTTTTTTTTTTGTTTTTGCAATTTTTGGCCAGGGCTGTGTTTGAACCCACCACCTCCGGCATATGGGGCCGGCGCCCTTGAATGCTCTTTCTTGGAGTTACAGCTTGATGAACTTCTTTCTTGGCTCAGATCCCCGTCTTTGGCTTTGTAGAGTCTGATTCTGTCCAATTTTTCTTCCTCTGCTCAGGAGCCTCTGAGGAGGGTTGCTACCAGTCAGCCATCCTCCCAGAATTCCCATGGTTCTGGGCTTTTCCATGTTGAGATGTTTTTGATTACTCATTCAGTCTCTTAAAGGTCTGTTCAGATTTTCTATTTCTTCTTCAGTCAGTTTTGGTAGTTTGTGTGTTTCTAGGAATTTGCCTGTTTCATCTAAGAATCTAATTTGTTGGCATATATATGTTCACAGTATTATTTTATGATACTTTTTATTTCTGTAAGGTCAGCAGTAAATGCTCCACTTACTAATTTTAATCTTCTGGGTTTTTTTTCTTTTTTTTTTTTTTTTGAGGCACAGTCTCATTTTGTCACCCTGGGTAGAGCGCTATGGTATCATAGCTCACAGCAGCCTCAAACTCCTGGGCTTAAATGATCGTCTTTCCTCAGCCTGCCGAGTAGTTGGGACTATTGACGCACACCACGACGCTTGGCTATTTTTAGTAAAGATAAGGTCTCACTCTTGTTCAGGCTGGTCTGAAACTCCTGAGCTCAAGCAATCCACCCACCTCAGCCTCCCAGACTGAAATCTTCTGTTTTTTTCAACAATCCATCTATCTAATGGTTCATCAATTCTGTTGCTGTTTCTAAAGAACTGAATTTTTCTAAAATGCTTTTATCTTCTATATTTTGTTTATCTCCCCTCTAATCTTTATCATTTTATTTCTTCTGCTTGCTTCGGGTTTAGATTTCTCATCTTTTTCTATTTCCTTAAGGTATGCTTTTTTTTTTTTTAAAAAAGGCATTGATAGCTAAAACTTTCCCTTTGCACACTGCTTTTGCTGAATTCCATTAGTTTTGATATATCTGTTTTTGTTTTCATTCATGTTTTTTAAAAAATTTCTCTTGTGACTTTTTCTTTTATCCAGTGGTTATTTAGGTTTGTGTTGTTTAATTTTCACATTTGTATATTTTGCAAATTTCCTTCCATTACTGATTTCCAATTTCTTTCTCTTGTTTTTAGAGAATGTACTGAGTATGATTTTTAAAAATTCATTGAGATTTGTTTTATGGCCTAACATATTGTCCATCCTGGAGAATGTATACTTGATAATACATAGTTTGCTATTTTGGAGTTGACTGTTCTATAGAGGTCTATTAGGTCTATTTGTTTTATAGTGTTGTTCAAGTCTTGTATTTCCTTATTGATATTCTGTGGAGTCCATTTTTGAAAATAGGGCATTGAGGTCTCCAACTACTATTGTAGAACTGCTATATCTCCCTTTAATTTTATGTATGCATGTATTGTGGGGCTCTATTAGGTGCATATGTACTTATAATTGATATATCTTCTTCATGGATTGGCCACTTTAAGCATCATGCAATATCCTTTTTATCTCTTAACAATTTTTTCCTTAATGTTTACTTAGATATTCATAGTGGTACGATAGCTCTCAACTGGTTACTGTTTGTATGGAATAGCTTTTACTTTTAACCTATTTTCTCCTGTAGTCAACATATATTTGGATCATTTTCTTTTATTGTACATTTCCCCAAACTTTGCCTTTTAGAGTTTAATCTGTTACATTTAATATGATTACTGATAAAGGCCTTACTCCTGACTTTTTGCTATTTGGTTTTTTTATTATATGCTATTCTTTTCTCCTTCAGTTTTTCTATTACTGCTTTCTTTTGTATTTTATTATTTTTTTAGTTGTGTGCCATTTTCATTTGTTACTCATTTTTTATCTATATTTTTCAATTAGTTTCTTAGTGGTTTCCCTGGGGATTATAATTAACAAGTTAACTTAGGACAATGTCTTTTAGATTAATATCAACTCAATTTTAATAGTTTACAAAAACATTTGCTCCTATATGGCACCATTCTTATTTATGTTGTCATAAATTACATCTTTATATATTATGTACCCCTCAACATAGATTTATATTATTTTATGCAGCTGCCTTTTAAATCATATATTAAAAAAGAGGAGTTATAAGCCATAACTACATTTAATAGTGTCTTTTGTACTTACTTATATAGTTACTTTTAGTATGAGCTTTTTTATTTGGATTCCAGTTACTGTCTAGTGTAGCCTGGAAGATTTCTTCAGTATTTCTCATAGGGAAGTTTTTTTTTTTTGAGACAGACCCTCAAGCTGTCATCCTGGGTAGAGAGCTGTAGCAACACAGCTCACACCAACCTCCAACTCCTGGCCTCAAATGATTCTCCTGCCTCTGCCTCCCAAGTAGCTGGGACTACAGGCACCCGCTACAATGCCCAGCTATTCTGGGGATGCACCTGTCGTTGTTTGGTGGCCTGGGCTGGATTCGAATCTGCCAGCTCAGTTGTATGTGGCTGGTGCCTTAGCAACTTGAGCTACAGGCACTGAGCCGGGAAGATTTTTTTTTTTTTTGAGATAGCTTCTCTTTGACACCTCGATAGAGTGCCATCGCATCGTAGCTCACAGGAACCTCAGACTCTTGGGCTCAAGCTAGTCTCTTGTGAGTAGCTGGGACCACAGGTACCAACCACAATGCCTGGCTATTTTTAGAGAAAGGGTCTTGCTCTACCTCAGGCGATCCACCTGCCTTGGCCTCCCAGAGTGCTGGGATTACAGATGTGAGCCACTGTGCCCAGCCACCTTAGGGACGATTTAGACCAGCGGTATTTAGCCTAAAAGAAGAAAAGGATACCTCTGAGGTTTGGTGGACCAAATAATGATGGGAGTTAATTTACAGGGAAAGTTCAGGGACTTAATGGCTCAATCGGGAGATGGTGCTGAGACAAAAGAAGCTCCTATGTATGCCTTACCCACGTCTATCACCTGGCCAAGAATTCAACCTACAATATCGAGTATTAGTCTTCCCAAGCTCTTGGAAACAAAGCTTCTATTGGCTCACTGCAGCCTCAGCGCAGCCAATTGGCTGCTTCGCTCTGTAGGGGTCACTGTGGTGCGGGAGGCTCGTGTCCCAGCAGGCCTTGCGGCATCGCTTCCCTTTTCTCCGCGTCGCGGCATCGCTTCCCTTTTCTCCGCGTCGCCGTGCCTGACTGGTTCGTGTGGTGAGCGGGGAACGGTTTACCTCTTTGTGAAGAGGAAGGAGGGAGGAAGAAGGCCTATGGGGAGGCCAGGACTGGGCATTGACTGAAATAAAACTGATTGGGAAGTGAAGGGCGGCTTAATTGGTGGCCACAGACTATATCGTTGGCTGCCGTAGAGGTAGCGGTCTCAGGGCTCTGTGAGGCTGTTGCTTGAGTAGGCCACAGCCGCCATGGCCGTGAACTTTGGGGATCACAATAGCGGATTCCGCCACAATGACGTGATTAGGTTCATTAATAATGAAGTACTCATGAATGGTGGCAGCCAAGACTTTTACGTGGCTTTCAGCTCACTGTCCTGGAGTGAGGTAGAGGAGCGGCTCCGGGCTGTTGTGGCTGATTCACAGGTGCCGCGCGCCATTAAGAGGGCCTGTGCCTGGAGCGCGCTGGCTTTGAGTGTGAGAGTGGCTGCGAGGCAGCGTGAGCAGCATGCATACAGGGTCAGACGGCTCCAGGAGCGGATGGAGGCGCATGAGGCAGCGTCTTGGGCTATGGCGGCTGAGCTACGGCGGCTGCGCGAGGAGTCCCATGAGGCAGCTTCACAGTTGCACTTGACGCACGCTGCCCTGCAGCAGGCGCTATTTGAGTGTGATATGCTGCGAACAAGGCTGTTTCAGATTGAGAGGTCTGCTCAGGTCGCCCCACTGGGCCATGAACTAGTGCCTATGCTGCGAGTTGAGCAGCGTGGGGCTGTAGCATGGCCTGTGAATGCAGATCAGTCGAGAGAGGTGGTGGCCAGGGGGGCACATGCCAGCTTTTATTTTGAGGCCCAGATGCCAGCCACTGCATCTGTTATTTATGTGCCAGGACCCCCAAATCCTTGGGCCCAGGCTGTACAAGCCCCTCTGCCAATGTCAGTGCCGGTGCCATGCTCATTCCCATTCCAAACACCAGTCCCCACAGGATCCCCATTCTTGCCACCTCAACCACCTGTAGTCATGGAAGCAGAAGCAACAGTAGTCCCAGTTCAGATGCCTCCTGTGGGTATCCCCCAACCTGGCCCTTGGGCTGCAGTGGGCTTCCAGGAGGAAGTGTCCTCTCCATGGTACCAAAGGAGCTATATCCAGGAGGAAGGTACTCAGATCATCCAGGGGTCAGCCAGTCTGGGAGACAGTAGATGCCACAGGCAGAAGCAAGGTCCAGCAGGGCCTGAGGAGAAGAGTTCCCTCCTGATCAGTAGTGGGAATAATAGCAAAGAAGAAGATTCAGTGGGACCCCAGGGAACTACCCTCCTGGGCAACAATGGGACCCATAGCCAGGAAGTAGAACTAGAGAGTCCCCAGGAAACATCCTTACTTGGGGATACTGAGCAGGACAACCAAGAAGATACAGAGATGTCCTGTGTGATAACCCCACTGGGGGAGGGCAGAAGCTGCAGCCAGGAGGAAGATCCTCAGGGACTCCAGGGGATGGATCCCATTGTAGACAAAGGGAGCCCAAACCAGGAAGATCTTGAGAGTCCCCTGGAGAGTGTTTCCCTGGAGGATAGAAGCTCTAACCAGGAAGGAGTTTCAGAGAATCCTCAGGGGACTATCCTCCTAGGAGCCAGTAGAAGTTACAGGCAGGAAGACTATCCAGAGAGTGGCGAGGAAGACAATCCAGAGAGTGGCGAGGAAGACAATCCAGAGAGTGGGGAGGAAGATAATCCAGAGAGTGGGGAGGAAGACAATCCAGAGAGTGGGGAGGAAGACAATCCAGAGAGTGGCCAGGAAGACCATCCAGAGAGTGG